AAAAAAAAATGTTAAGACTCTCTGCATGAAGCCTTAGAGATAAAAACAGGTTATGCGAATGCTTCTTAGACCTTGTCCCTTGGCTTGAAAAAGCTGTGAGAATGTTATAAAGAGTTTTGCCTTTTGCAAAAAGGAATCACAGGTATTTTTTCTCATCTGCATCCTTCAACTCGGTGCGCCCCAGTTTTTATGCGTTTTTTTTGCACCTTTTTTTAGTAAAAAAAGCTTCGAATCCCTACTTTAAATACATAAAAACTTATCGACAATGTTAAGAACTCTCAGGCTATCAATTTGGGTGATGTTAGCGATGATGTTACTGATTCATGTTGGTGATGTTACTGAAGTGCTCCCACCTGCCACGTGTAGCCATAACAGGTTAGAAAAAATATTTTAAAATTTCAGTATTGAGTAAATCAAAATTTTTTTTTTTTCAGCAATCAAATCTTCGAGTCCGTCGCTGGATCGTCTAATCGACGTGTTTCTTTGTCGTACGAACAACAAAATTCAGCCAGTTTCTAGCCAGAGCTCACCAGACACTCTGCCATCCATGAACACAATTTCAGGCATACCGCTGCAGTCATTCAGTACTGCGAGTAAAAATAATGTAACTGCTGCTACCACAACTGCCACTGTTACTGCTACTGTTTCGGCGGTCACTACTGCCGCGCTGCAATCGCCAGCTGCTACAACTGCCCCCAAAACTGGACCGCTAAAAGCAATTGGGGCAGCTGGAGGTGCAGAGGGGCCTGTGTTGCGCCAGCTTGTGGAGCAAAAAATTATTACTGAAACAAAAACGCTGACCACCACAAGATCTGTGCCAATGCTACCGGGTGAGGTACCACTAACTCCGAGTTTTGGCACCGCTACAGCACGGCCACTGAACGGTGTAAGCACTGCTTCAGCTGCTGCAGGGCGCTGTTCAGAATCCGTTCAAACTGATGACGAACAATCCGTTCAACAAGAAGCAGATACATCTGGTGCTGCAAGCGAAGCACCACAGGAACCAGACATTTCGGCACCAGGAGATATTGCAAAAAACGGAAAAAGTGAGATTTTCCAAAGAACTGCTACGTTCTTCGAATGTTGTTATGCAGTGACAGAGCTTTGTGTTTTCGTCGAAAAAAAATAAGGGAAATTTTTATACTAACGCTGAGTACTGCTGCGCCCCAGACTGTATCCTTTTTTACGTAATAGTGATGTTACTGGAATGCTTCTACACTCGTCAATTCTGGGCTGCATACTTTTAGTTAATACCCACAGCCTATTTAGTATACTGTTCAACTTTTGCGGATATACTGGGACAAAAATTTGACTAATTCTGCATCCTCTCCAGGAATTGCTGTCTTTAATAAAATAAGTGCGAAAACTAAGTGAATGGCAAATTTTTTTTTAGATGGTACCAGCACCACTACCGTAATTGCAAGTTCAGATGCTGAACTGAAACGATGCGCCAGCACATTCCAACCAGCTCATAGTGCTCTACGGAAAACGCAGTCTGAGCACGGTGGACGATTGCTCGCAGCCCCTCAAGTTGCAGGAAGGGAAAAGACACCGCCAACTGCTGAGGAACTACGAATGGCTCTAAAAGAGGTAGCGTTCTCCAGGTTACGCAAAAACCTAACTTTTTATGCAACGTCATGAACGAATCCACTTCAGACTCGGACACCACGATTTCAGCCCAAAGCTCGGAAACGAGAAAAGCTGGAAAACTTTTCGAGAACGAGGAACTTATATTATCCCCCTCCCCTCTCATAGTGAGTGATTTATCCATTTTTGTAGGTTTCGTCCATGAAACTGCCAACTAAGCCGCTCACGGAGAAGCAGAAAAAGAAGCTGCTGAGTGCATCATGCGAACACCTGCATACCAAGGAGGACGACAGTAGAAATATTAGAAAAACCGGTAAGTGCATGAATGGGGAAAGGGCGAGGGAAAAAAGGTAGAGGTGGACAGCTATAAAGGAGACAGTGGAAAGGAGGGGTTATTGCCGGAATGTTTCCAGATACTCTGGTCATCCAAACGGGTGTTATTTGCAGACGGATCTATTGGGAAGTTGTTGGCCACTTCCGCCGCACCATCCAGAAGCGAGCTCCACCGGAAGCTCTCGAGCATCTCCGAGAAAAGCGCTGAATGGGCAAGTGGTGGCGATGAGTTACCACTGGCGCCAAGCAGTATTAGCTGCCCAACAACCACGCGCATAAGCAAAGGTTAAAGTTTATCTGTCTACTTATTAGTTGATTTTAAGTTTACCCATTATCTGCTACCGAATTGTTGCCTCGCTACGACCCACTAATGACTTATCTTCTATAAAAGTGCTGTAATAGGATTTTATAAGCTGTAATATTTTTTTAACCGATGAGTCATTACAGTAATCTGCACCCTATCCCTTCTTCTCTTTCAGATTTCACTGTTATCCGCAACATTTTAAGTGATTCATAAAGTCCAGGTTAATCCTGGGAATAATAGTAGGAAATAAGAAGTGAGTTAAGACGTTTCGGTCCATTATGTCATAAATCTTGTTTGTTACAAACAACTTTTTCTAATGACTGCCTGTCTTGTGCCATTTTCTTATTCAACCTAAAGCATCCATATTCCTTCTTACTGTAGGAGCGGATCCTATTCCCTCTATTTAAACAGCCCTTTTCTTCATTCGAAGCCTTGGCCTCCGTTTCACTATAACTCAACTTCAGACTTCAACCCACATCAATCCTGTTTTGTCATCTCGTATCTACTTGCAGTCCTTCAAATCTGGCTGAGTTGTCCCCAGCAAGCTAACTTCTCCATCGCTGTTTCTATAAACAAGTAACATGTTGTGTGCTTCTTATCCCGATGCATTTTCAGATCAGAAGCAATTGCCGCGGACGCTGCAAAAATATCGAGACGGTGTTTACGGGACGAGGCGGCATATTTTTGATGAGCTGAGAGCGCCATTTACTGGAAAGTACGCAAGAGCGCAAAATTGGACATCGGAAGCTCAAAATCGGACACCTCCAAGCTTGACAAGTAAGTTTGCTCTTTTTGTTGTGGATGCAGTGAATTGTAAATGAAATAATGCTGATAACAAATGCTGTTCACAGGTAGTACTGCAACGCTGAGGAGGAATGTGAAAGCAGCGGAGGAGGACTGGGATGAGTTAGGGAGTGCTACTCGGATAAGGCCTACGAAACAGCGAACAGGCGCCGCCGGTCTACGCCACCGTCCAATTTCTGAAGTTGACACCCGGCCACCCTGGGATTCATCGCCACTCAAAGAAGGTAATCCGATCTTTTTTTTTTTCATTCTTCCTTTACATTATTTTCTCTTTAACTACTACTAACTTTCAATTACAGTACTCGAATCCAGTACTTTACTTTCATCATCTGTTGTTTGAACGTTACGTCTTTCCTCGCCAGTGGTGGAGCAGGCAAATTTCACGTTTCCTAAGTTTCCATTATTAGCACTAGCTAAGTTACTGCAAACGATGACTTAGCTATGAGGCTTAATCAAGTCAAACATATTGTGGTTAATCAAGTGATAAAGTCAGACATACTGTAGTTCACTCCCTGTGAAAGGCGGAGACACTTGGAAGTATGCCAAGCAGGATTACTTGACCAACAGCGACTACGAGAGATGTCGACGATCCCCTATTTCGAGAGTTCTTTGATGGCGAAATAGTTTCTTTCTTTAGCACGCTTGGTTACAGTTGAACTCTTTGCATATTAGATTTGCTAGCATCAATTTGCAATCGAAATGAATCAGCTGGTCATAAGTAGAGTGGTTTACGGGTAGAAAGCTGTAATGATGATTCCAGGCCCTATTCATACGCAAAGCTAAGGGATGAAACACAGACTGCATCCTAACATGCCTTCATGCATACAGCACCTAGACCAATCCCTCTTATCTCTTATTTTACTATCTCTCTCTGGTTTTGAGCACTATTAAACCACTATGTGGAAATTTTATTGTGAATATCTATGGTTTGTTTGAGCACTCAAATTTTCAGATATTATAACACAACCTTCGATAATAAGCCAAGCAACTTTCAGGTGAGCTAGATCGGATTGCTCCGCTGCTGCCTTTCTTTCCACGTCAGCATCAGCAGCGCAAATGGCTCTCGGCGTCAAATTTGGATCGTACACGAGATAGGGCCTATGCTCAAGAGGATGAGCAGCGACGTCGGCAAAGTGATTGGAATTTGCATGAGGCCACATCACGACCGCAAACAACGCGCATTTCTCGCCTGGCACAACCGCGACAACCGGTAGCGCATGCGCGACCAACGCCTGCTAGCACCAGTGGCGTAGTATGGACTCCAAATGGTACCCTGGATAAGACAAGGCCAATAAAAGAACAGCTCTGGTGGAGCGCACACTGACTCGAATTTACCTGTTCCGGTACTCCGGGGAAGTGCAAAAAGGTGCTAAATTTCCAACAGTCCCAGCACTTTTGAATACCCGGAGGATATCCAAGAAAAACCCGCGTTGCCTTATCTAACTCTGTCTTTCATAGTGTCCTCCTTGGGGGGCAGTAAAGCATGCGGACAGAGTGGACACGCTGGTCACACTATGCCACTTGCATTACGTCAGTAAAGTGAAAAATTTTACTATGTCAGTAAAATGAAATCGAATGTTTCTTTCAATAAATTTGTTTTTCCACAAAAATCACCAAAATTTGAAAAAAAGCGAAGAAGTAACCGAGATGCAGCCCCTCCAGGTATGGTGGTCTTGAAGGAAAAGGAAGACCACAAATCGGCCAGTAAGAACAGCACAAATAAAAATACAGGAATGTAAAGTTTTGGATCTTGCAGCAGCGGGAGAAGTGGAAGGAATGGTTGCGTATCCTGTGCCAATCAAGAATTTGAGAGGCCGGCAAGAATTAGAAGTTAAAACCTTGTAAGCAGATATACAGTACAACCTGACTGCGCGGCGTATATGAATGCCTATAACAAAAAACCGCTAGGTGATATCTAAATGCATTCAAGCATATTCTTTTCTAGAGGACCTGAAGTAAGTGTAGACTTCGACTAGTTCTAGTTGGTTAGGAAGAAATAGTAGAATATGAGATGAGGGATTGGTTTAAGTGTCATGTGCCTCAGAACATGTTAGGATGCAGTCTGTGTTTCGTCCCTTAGCTTAAGCATTACACCAGATTGTGCGCGCCAGCAGGCGCAGGAACCATCAGTTCAGCCTCCTACCCGCCAGGTATTGAACAGTCATGTGACTAATTTGCAAGACGTGCATGCGGAAGAAAGAGAAAACAGAGAGAGAACAGAGGCAGCAAGAGAA